CACTTTTAAAAAATATGTGGAAATTTTGAAAATTGAGAGTAAGAGTCTCTTGTGCCTAGATGTGCCAACACGGTGGAATTCAACATATCTTATGTTGGAGGCAGCAGAAAAATTTGAGAGTGCTTTTCAAAGAATGGGTGAGGAGGACTACAATTACAAACACTACTTTTTGGATAATGAGGGGGGTGAGAGGAGAGAGATGCCTACAGCCGAGGATTGGGATAATTGTAGGGTGTTTTTGAAATTTCTTAGAATGTTCTACAATGCCACAAAGAGATTTTCTGGGTCTTTATTTGTTACTTCAAACACATTCTACACTGAAATTTTTGTCATTGAAAATATGATTGGACAATTAATCAAAGACAATGATCCTATTTTGTCTTCAATGGCAAAGAAAATGAAAGAGAAGTTTGACAAGTATTGGGGAAATGGGGATAAAATCAATCTACTTTTGTATGTTGCGGTTGTGCTTGATCCTAGAAGAAAAATGACATACTTGCAATTTTGTTTTTCAACAATTTTTGGTGGAGATATGGTGAAAGTGAAAGAAATGTTAGACAAGGTCAAAAATTGTTTGGGCAAATTGTATGATCATTATGCCACACTTGAGCCAACAATGTGCATGCCTCCAATGTAAATGAAAGAGTAGATATGGTGATAGATGAAAATGACCCACACTCTATTGTGAACTCTCAATTTAACTCATTTTTTGAGGGGCAATTCTGTAGTGGGGGTAACTCAAAATTGGATAAGTACTTGGGTGATATTGAGAAAGGTGGGAATAATTCTCAATTTGATATCTTGGAGTGGTGGAAGGTTAATGCAACAAAGTATAGAGTGTTATCACTTATAGCACGAGATGTGTTGGCGATGCCTATTTCCACTGTTGCTTCTGAGTCGGCTTTTAGTACAGGAGGTCGAATACTTGATCCATTTCGTAGTTCACTTGCTCCCAAGATGGTGGAGGTTCTTGTTTGTGCACAAAATTGGCTTCGAAGTAACATTCCGATATGCCTTAGACAAGCAATGGAGGATGTTGAGCAATTTGAACAACAATATGATTCAGGTAATATGTACAATAATTTATTTATTTTTTTATCCATTTCATTTATTTTGTATTATTCAAAATTCATTATCTTTACTTTACATATTTTTGTTGTGTTATGTTTTTTGTGTAGTTGTTTCGGAGTCAAGCTCATGTTCAAGCCCAAGTCCGGAGACTAATTTTATTGAAGTTTAATATTATTGGTAAAATATTTCTCCTTGGTTGAATGTTGTTAACATATGTTTACTTGTTTTAAGTTTAAAACTTTTTAGTGTTTTCTTTATTAAATAATTTCATTTTTTTGTTGTGCAGGTTTACATGGCTCATGATTTGGTGAAAAGAACTGAATGGTTTTTTTGCTACTTTTTGGATGACTGTAACTTATTGTTTTTGGATGCATAATATTTGTTGGATGACTGTAACTTATTTTTTTTGGATGCACAATGTTTGTTGGATGACTGTAACTTTTTTATTTTTGGAACTCTTGGATGACTGTTACTTGGATGGATGCACAATGTTTTCTTTATATTTTGTGTAAGATGATTTATGCATATTGGATGCACAATGTTTTGGGTGATATTGAATTATGGCCATTGGAACCAATATTGAATTATGCCCATTACAATCCAAGTTACAATGTTTTGGGTGATTTTGAATTTTGAATTATGCCCAGGTTGCATTGCCCATTATAATGAATAAATAGATGTTGAATTATGCACAATATTTTTCATGTTTCATAGATGTGAATGAATAAATGATTTTGAACAAATGATGTGAATGTTTTCCATGAATAAATGATTTTGAATTTTGAATTATGTCCAGGTTGCATTGCCTATTATAATTTATAATGAATAAATAGATGTTGAATTATGCACAATATTTTTCATGTTTCATAGATGTGAATGAATAAATGATTTTGAACAAATGATGTGAATGTTTTCCATGAATAAATGATTTTGAATTTTGAATTATGTCCAGGTTGCATTGCCTATTATAATTTATAATGAATAAATAGATGTTGAATTATGCACAATATTTTTCATGTTTCATAGATGTGAATGAATAAATGATTTTGAACAAATGATGTGAATGTTTTCCATGAATAAATGATTTTGAATTTTGAATTATGTCCAGGTTGCATTGCCTATTATAATTTATAATGAATAAATAGATGTTGAATTATGCACAATATTTTTCATGTTTCATAGATGTGAATGAATAAATGATTTTGAACAAATGATGTGAATGTTTTCCATGAATAAATGATTTTGAATTTTGAATTATGTCCAGGTTGCATTGCCTATTATAATTTATAATGAATAAATAGATGTTGAATTATGCACAATATTTTTCATGTTTCATAGATGTGAATGAATAAATGATTTTGAACAAATGATGTGAATGTTTTCCATGAATAAATGATTTTGAATTTTGAATTATGTCCAGGTTGCATTGCCTATTATAATTTATAATGAATAAATAGATGTTGAATTATGCACAATATTTTTCATGTTTCATAGATGTGAATGAATAAATGATTTTGAACAAATGATGTGAATGTTTTCCATGAATAAATGATTTTGAATTTTGAATTATGTCCAGGTTGCATTGCCTATTATAATTTATAATGAATAAATAGATGTTGAATTATGCACAAATTTTTGTTTTTGTTTTTTTTTTTTGTATGTTGAAAATTTGTAAAATTTCAAACCGCCAAACCGATTCGCATCCATCCGCCAATCCGCCAATCTGCCAAATCCGCATCCGCCGGATTGGCGGACGGATGCGGATTGATTTTCTCCAATCCGCCAATTTGGCGGACGGATGGCGGATTGGAGATTTCGTGGCCGCAACCGATCCGCGCCCACCCCTAGTAGTAGCGAGTTTACAATAGCATATATCAACATTTATGTTTAATATTTGTAAATTTCGTCAGAATTATGTAAGTTTCATAGCCTTTAAAATTTTCTTAATTTTTAGTCTATATTAGTCACTTAAATTTTTAAGTTATACCAATTATGCATATATATCAAATGGGCTTAATTGACTTTATGTAATAATACATTCAGTTTTAAGTGCTATTGGATTAAATTATCTAATACCACCTATGTCATCTATTGAAAAATATATCATAGATAAGTTTGATTACATAAACTCAATTAGTAATTTTACAATTAAAAATACAAGAAAAGTAATATTGAAATAATATTTTGCTTTAATTTTTATTTTGTATTATATTTTTAAATTTTTGTTGAATATATATATATATATATATATATTTTGTGTGTGATTTGGAAAATTGAATTTTGTTAAACTATTAACCAATTAAACCATGTTTTTATTGTTTTGAGTTTCAAAGCAACAAAACGTCCTTTTTTCTTTCTTTTTTTTATTATTTATTAGTATTTAGTTTTTGTAATATTGTTTTTATCTTAATTTATATAAATAAATTTTAATTTATAATTTTAGAGTGTATTTATGCAACCAAGCTTTATGTGAATATTAACAATGAAAAAAATATGCATACATATCATTTTATTAATAATTTATTTTAATATGTACAGAGGTCTCATTTTTAAAATTTGCATAGGGTGCACAAAAATTCAGGACCGGACCTAATGGAGACACTATAAAAATTAAAGTTTTAAAGACTAAAATTTATGGACAAAATTATTTTTTAGGGACCAAATATTTTTATTGCAAAAAGTATCGTCATTATATTTTTAACAACGAAAATTGAACATAAGTGATGAATTATTATCTTTTTAGGACCAAATTTTTTGTCTCAAAAAATAAACTATTTTGAGATCAAATTATTTTGTCCCCAAAAGTGTATTTATTAGTGACATTTTCAAAATTTTGTCGTTAAAATGCTTATTTTTGACTTTTCGGGACGATCTTTTGATGACTATCCTCACGATGATAGAAATTGATCCCTAAATGTCTTTTGCAACGAATTTTTTACTTTTAAAAATCAAAAAATTTGATTTCTAAAACTTCCATATATTGTAGTGAGAATGTGATCATATTGTACAACCAAGACTACATTTGAGATGGGGAGACAAGTGACACCGAATTTTGGAGGTGTGAGTTACATTTTAATGTTTAGTGTCCTAAATGAAACAAATTTTTGCTTCAAATTAAGCTTCTAATGACATTTTTATCACATTGGCATCTTGAAACTTTTGAGGAAAAATGATAAGGGAAATAGCAGTGGTAGCAGAAAAAATTTTTACAAAATTATGAAAAAAATATAATATTTTAATTATTTTTTTGCCACAACTGTGCTGCTATCTCTCCAAAATGATATAGCTTAACAAACCATCTAATTGTGGTGATGATTGGCTTAGGTGCATGTACTAACCTAATTATGAAACGCTCCCTTAGCGATGATGCTGGTATTGGTCTTTGGCTGCTCTTTGTTGATGTATTTTGTGCACTTCTTGTATTCTTTTTAGCTTCAATAAAAAAAATAATTATCAATCAAAAATAATAATAATGTATACATGGTGAATTCTTTCACATTGACTGATGAACGAAACGGCACGTTGAAAACATATATATGGCTTGATACATAAATTAAGAAAAGATCTAAACTCCATATATTTACCAATCAGTCTTATTTTATTACTGCAAATTTATTCATAAAAATAAGAGATTAATAAATTTATCATTTGATAAATTTATTAATAAGGTAATAAGTTCAAAAAATATGACCTACTAGTAATTTACCAATAAAAGGGGTAACAATTATTTAACTGTTATTATGTAGATAATTACGAAGATATGATTATAGTTATGGAGAATGAATCCTATCAAATCAAGCAACATAAACTAATCAAGCCAATTTATTAAGGCACGTAGAGAGCAACACTTTTCCAAAACAAAATTCAAGAATAGCATGCATTAAGACAAAATACTATATCTCTATATAAACCTCAAGATCGGTGTCTTCCAACTCATAATCAGTCCATCTATTAGTAATCCTTTGTAGCAATCTCTCATTAGCAGAACCATATAATGGATTCCAAATCCAAGAATAGCATTTGCCAGTTGGCTTTGCTATCATTCATTTTGGGTTCTCTGGCTTGCCACACTGTTGCATCTCGCTCTTTCCAAGCCCAAGAGGCATCAATGTATGAGAGGCATGAGCTATGGATGGCTCACTATGGACGTGTGTATAAGGATACTGCTGAGAAAGAGTCACGTTACAACATATTCAAGGCCAATGTCGAACAAATTGAATCTTTTAATAAAGCCTCAAACAAGCCATACAAGCTTGGAGTCAACCAGTTTGCAGATCTTACCAATGAAGAGTTCAAATTGCGCAACAGGTTCAAGAGCCATGTTTGCTCAAATGTTGCCACATCATTCAAATATGAAAATATGACTGCAGTGCCAGCTACCATGGACTGGAGGAAGAAAGGTGCTGTAACACCTATCAAGGACCAAGGCCAGTGTGGTAAGTAACAATTAATTTTTGCTGATCGAAAAAAAAAAAAAAGAAAAAGTAACAATTAATTTCTCAAGAAAATTCAAAGAACGAAAATATAAAATTGATGTTTCCTAGCTAACCATCTTTCTTTCACCATATATATAGGATGTTGTTGGGCCTTTTCAGCCGTGGCAGCCATGGAAGGAATTAACCAATTAACAACTGGTAAGTTAATCTCCCTATCTGAACAAGAGCTAGTTGACTGCGACACTACTGGCCAAGATCAAGGGTGTAACGGTGGCCTTATGGATGATGCCTTTAAATATATCAAACAAAATCGTGGCCTCACCACTGAAACAAACTACCCATACCAAGGAACTGATGGCACTTGCAACACCAACAAGGCAGCAAACCATGCAGCCAAAATTACTGGGTATCAAGATGTTCCTGCCAATAGTGAGAGTGCACTACTAAAAGCTGTTGCTAATCAACCAGTCTCTGTTGCCATTGATGCTAGTGGTTTTGCCTTCCAATTCTACTCAAGTGGTGTCTTTACAGGACAGTGTGGCACTAGTCTAGACCATGGTGTAACCGCTGTTGGCTATGGGACTGCTACCGATGGAACTAAGTACTGGTTAGTTAAGAACTCTTGGGGCACAGGATGGGGTGAAGAAGGATACATAATGATGCAAAGAGATGTTACTGCCAAGGAAGGCTTATGCGGTATTGCAATGATGGCTTCTTACCCTTCTGCATAGAAGTGTAAAAGTAAAAAAAAATGGTACCTACATATATACATATAGAATAATTATGTGTTGCTTGTTATCTTTGTTTCTTTCTCTACCTTTTGTTTGTTTATGCTGATGGCAAAACTTGTGTATTTCTTATATTGGACCCATGTAAAATTAATCTAGGTCATGATTGATATGGACAACATATTCTATTTCTTGCCTTAAACTCGCTTTATTGTTGTCTTGAAGATTTGACTGTCAATGTTTGAGAATATTTCCATTATACGAATGACAATTTGGAAATAGAGGATCATGTTAGAATGTACCACCCCATTTAGACAGGAAGATTAACTTATTTACAATTCATCTGTAAATTCCATAATTTACAGTCAACCAACCATTTAATGCCATGTCATCTAATTAAGTATACTAAACTTTTCATTTACTAGCATACACCCTATCTCATCTAATTAGCTCCGTCCATTTTATTCCCTCTGAAATCTTCATCCTATGAAGCATGGTATGAACACGAGTACTGGTACTGGTATGATACATGATATGTTGATATGGTAAAATAAAAAAAATAAATAAAGGTAGGGTATAGGTACGGTTTGGTACCCTTGTAAAAAAAAAAATTATTTTTAATTTAGAGTAATACAAAAATTAATTAAATGGTTTACACTACAACATTTTCTTAGTTCAATGATACTTGAAAGTGTCACAAAATTATTCCTCTAGTGGCATTTTTTTAGCCTTGTGACGTTTTGAACAAGTGCTATGTATACTCATGCCACGGTAGATATTAGTGGCAACTCAGTGACACTTGCAAGTGTCATTACACTATCAAAGTTAAAGACTTTCAATGACACTTAAATATCGTGATAGACACTATTTGTGACACTACCAAATGCCATTAAAGAAGACTTGTAAAATGTCACTACATACTTTTTAATGGCGCTCCTTATACCATAATTGATATTTTCAGTGACTCTTATAAATGTCATTAGATCCAGTTTTCAGTGACAACTCAAAGTGCCAATGTTTCACCACTCATTTAAGCCATAAATGGAGATAAATTGAAAAACAAAATAAATAAATAAATAATTATTTTTCAATATTCACTCCATTGATATTTTGGTCAGCAAGATAAACAAATAAAATTTCACATATAATGACAATTGATTCAAATACAACAATATTGTTCTTAACTAATAAAATAAAATCGGAACATTGTTCCTATTTTGAAAAAGTGAATATCATTATCATATATCATAAACAAAAATTAAACAAATACAATATTTACATGTCCAAAAAAAAAAAGCGACACTACTACAAAAATAGTTAAAGATCACACTTTGACAAAAAAAAAGATCTCACTTTTATTGAAAGTGTGATAAAAAAATTAGATTGATATTTTAATCACACTTAATTTGATTAAGTGTGATAATATTTATTTTTTATGTCACTTTTCAATTAAGTGTGATTATATATATATGTTTTAATCACACATTCTAATTAAAAGTGTGATTATATATACACTACTATTTTTTAATCACACTTTTTAAACACGTGTAATTATATATATTTTTTAATCACACATTCTAATTAAAGTGTGATTATTTATATATTTTTTAATCACACATTCTAATTAAAGTGTGATTATATATACACTACTACTTTTAATCACACTTTTTAAATAAGTATGATTATATATATATTTTTTAATCACACCTTCTAATTAAAGTGTGATTATATCACTACTACAAAAATAGTTAAAGATCATACTTTGACAAATAAAAAAATCTCACTTTTATTGAAAGTGTGATAAAAAAAAATTAAATTGATATTTTTGCGACACTCCTTGTTAGTCTGTCACAAAAGGTTTTATTTTTATACATTACCCGTCGTATTTTTTTATGTAAAATGTGTATGTGCTTTTCTGGTTTTTCATCTTTTTTTATCTTTTTTGGCTGGGCAAAAGAATTATTTTTTTTTGGGTTCAACAAACTGTTTTTTTTTTTAAGAAATTGTTTTTTTTCCCCTCTTTCCTTTTAATGTTTCATGGAAAACAAACAAAGCCCAAATATAATTTTATGGTTCAACAAACTCCCTACAACAAAAAAGATTTTTCTCGACATTTTTTTTCCAACATTTTTGCAAACCTCTACAAAAACAAAATTATATATGGCATTTTCCAACAAACTCCGTAATTTATGATATAATTCTTGGCATTTTTCAAAAAACTCCGTAAATATCATAGTAAAATATCGTCGTTTTAAAGCACAATATTTTTCCCAGTGTTTGTATAAGCTAGAGACATTTTTTATGAAGTCCAAAACTACATGGTTTTGGCATAGAGTTAAAATAAACCCTAGTGCCCCCATATTGTTCTCATTCCAAGATCTGTCGCCAAGCAGCGGTTTCTATCCCTAATCCCTAATCTCTTCACCCCTCTTCCCAGTGTTTGTATAAGCTAGAGACATTTTTTATGAAGTCCAAAACTACGTGGTTTTGGCATAGAGTTAAAATAAACCCTAGTGCCCCCATATTGTTCTCATTCCAAGATCTGTCGCCAAGCAGCGGTTTCTATCCCTAATCCCTAATCTCTTCACCCCTCTTCCCAGTGTTTGTATAAGCTAGAGACATTTTTTATGAAGGTATACTAAACTTTTCATTTACTAGCGTACACCCTATCTAATCTAGTTAGCTCTGTCCATTTTATGAATTGGGATCCTCCTCTTGCACTCCTCCTTGCATTCCTTCTTGCAGGGCCTTCGGGGTCTACTTTTAGGCTCAATTTTGATAATTCGAACCGTTCATATTTTAAGATTTATTCAGTATATCATACCTGTAAAAAATCAAGTTGATCGGATATCAGAAAGTATGTATTTGGAAAACTGTTTATTAAATTCTTTAAAAAAATAATTTTTAGTTCGATTTTTCCGAACACATGCTTTCTGAAATCCGATCAACTTGATTTTTTACAGGTATGATATACTGAATAAATCTTAAAATATGAATGGTTCGGATTATCAAAATTGGGCCTAAAAGTGGGCCCAAAGACCCTGCAAGGAGGGAGTGCAAGGAGGAAGCGCGAGGGGAGGATCTTGACTCCCATTTTATTCTCTCTGACATCTTCATCCTATGAAGCATGGTATGAATATGAGTACTGGTACTGGTACTGGTACTGGTACTGGTATGATACAGGATATGTTGATATGATAAAATAAAAAAAAGAAAAAAAAGTAGGGTACAGGTACGGCTTGGTACCCTTGTAAAAAAATATTTATTTTTAATTTAGAGTAATACAAAAATTAATTAAATGGTTTACACTACAACATTTTCTTAGTTCAATGATACTTGAAAGTGTCACAAAATTATTCCTCTAGTGACATTTTTTTAGCCTTGTGACGTTTTGAATAAGTGCTATTTATACTGATGCCATGGTAAATATTAGTGGCAACTCAGTGACACTTGCAAGTGTCATTACACTATCAAGGTTAAAGACTTTCAATGACACTTTAATATCATGATAGACACTATTTGTGACACTACCAAATGCCATTAAAGAAGACTTATAATTTAAAAAATGTCACTACATACTTTTTTAATGGCACTCCTTATACCATAATTGATATTTTCAGTGACTCTTATAAATGTCATTAGATCCAGTTTTCAGTGACAACTCAAAGTGCCAATGTTTCACCACTCATTTAAGCCATAAATGGAGATAAATTGAAAAACAAAATAAATAAATAATTATTTTTCAAAATTCACTCCATTGATATTTTGGTTTGCAAGATAAACAAATAAAATTTCACATATAATGACAATTGATTCAAATACAACAATATTGTTCTTAACTAATAAAATAAAATCGGAACATTGTTCCTATTTTGAAAAAGTGAATATCATTATCATATATCATAAACAAAAATTAAACAAATACAATATTTACATGTCCAAAAAAAAAGAGTAACATTCATATCCATGAAAAGCGTGTATCGCTATAGTACTTTAATTATATTTGTGGAAGTCAATGCCCAAATCCAGCTCTTATAAGCTTCTTGTAATTGCTAGAATTAGCCTCATAGAAGTGTCTATACAAATTAGAATGGAGCCTCATAAATATGCTCTTCAAATGCTTTGATGATGACGCTCTGCAATAAAGCAAAACTCAACAAGTAAGAAAAAAAAATACACTATCTAAAAAGCAAAATTAGAAACAAATAGAAAGAGCTCAACATATCACAAGTAAATCCCTTCCATTGAATTTATAATAATCATTAGTAGATAATACTTTATAGTAGCTCACCAATATTAGTATATAAGGTACTTTTCACTTATGCTACAAATTGATCAATGGTAAAACTATGAAATGAAAGAAGCTAACAGCACCACCATAAAATGAATAGTACATAAGGAAAAAGCAAAAATGAATTTTTCATTTTTCATTTTCTTCCCATGCTTTAATCTGTCATAATATGAAGCAAAAAATGAAATATCTAAATCTAATCATCACTTAAGTGATTAGCCTAATACTTAAAAAGCAATCACCTTTGTTTTATCTCTCTTAGTTGCATTTGTTGATTTCTTTTTAGCACAGGATTTGAAACCCCTGTCACAAATTCAAAAAAATTATATTGGTATAAAACAATGATATAATTAGCCAATTCACATTTTAGAGAGGATGCTATATATTTATATATAATAATAAAAAGAAAAGATGTTAAAGGCCTTGGAGTGAATCAAAGTTAGTTGATATAGCATGATAGATGATCCCTTATTCAAAATAAAAAAAAACAAAAACAAAAACAAAAAAACCTAAATCAAGGATCAATAGAACCTGAAGGCTTAACATAGAGAGAGAGGGAGAGAGAGAGAGAGAGAGAGAGAGATAGATAGAGAGAGTTGGTTCATACATTTTAAGATCTTCAATAGTGCTTTGAACTGACAATCGTTAGATTACTCAAACAATTAAACACAAGAATATTTCAAAAAATAAAAAATAAAAACACAACCAACTAACACATGCAAAGACCCAAGGTTTGTAATCAGTGCTCTGTTTCTACACATACATATAGATTCAAAAGTTTCATTAGAAAATTTTCCATTCTCCTTCCAATTTATTAGTACAACAAAAAATGATAAAGAAAAAAATAAATCAAGAGCAAGATTAATTTACATTATAATCAAACATATGATATACACATTTAAAAAAATATG